AACTGCTGGCCGGTGCCTGATTGCACCTACATCTATGGGACTGAGTTCTTATTTATGCATTTATTTTTAAGTGCCAGAAAGCAAACTTGAAATTAAAAAGTAGAAGTAAATAGCTCTTGTTGCTGAAATTAAAATGTAAAAGGAAAACAGATTAAAATTCCAAAAAACATTCAGGCTTTAAACGTTTATTGTGAAATTTTAAGAGCTACCAACCCATTCACTAGCTCTTACATCAAGGTCCTTTGGCTTTCACAAAGCCGCCTCTGTCCTTTCAGAGACAGGCCCCTGCCATACCAGGAATTGACATTTGGGACACCCTGGGCCATTTCTTTCTGGTTAAAATCAACAGGGTTTGATGCAGTTCTTCATTCATTCACTCAACATTTGTTAGGCACCTACTCTGGCTATCTGCAAGCAAACATGACATCAAATCCTGTGCAAGCATGAACTGAACTTAAAATAAAATCAGAAAAAATGTCTCCATGAGCGGACTAATTTTTTGGCAGACAACAAATGTTCTATGACATCCTCAGAGTCCTCTGAATAAGAAAGCCACGGGAACACACAGGGTGGGGTGTCAGCGTGCAGGGTGCTCAGTCAGCACTGCTTGCAGCACCCCGGGCAGGAACAAGCAACCCCAGGGAACTGGGTCCCCAGCTAGGTTCCCAAGACAGGAAAACCAACGTGAAAGCTACTGTACAGAAATATCTGCAGGGGGAAGAGCCTGACCTCTGTGCCTGCATTTGCTCTATGAGAAACATCGGTCAGGGATGATCTGAGAAGCTGCTCGGCACTTCCCCGCCTGCCAGCCTTCTCCATTCGCTGGGGGGCCAGAGGACGCCCCCAGGTGGAACACAGAAGGATGAGGGACATGGGCTGTTCTTTAAGCTCAGCCCCCAGGGAAAGGTTGTGGCTGAGGAAGAAACAGGAAGAAATGAAATGTGAATAGCCTGGCTACAGAGTGTCGCTCAAGAATCGACCTGAGGAGCCCTTAGAAAGAAAGATGCCCAGGTCAGCCCTGAGCACACAGGGAGCTGATGTGATGTGTATAGAGAAGGTGCTCGCAATGCTCAGGAGAAAATGACAGAAAAAAGCAACCTGCACAGTGTCTAGAGTCTACACTGCACTGCATATGCACAACAGAGACAGCAACGGAGCAAGTGACTGAGTGCATGCCCTGGGTGTACAAGCTCAGTGAACCGCCACCAACCCAGCGCACTGGTAAACAGCATTCTGATCAAGAAACTACAGGACAGCACCCCAGAAGCCCCTCCCTGTGTGCCCCCTTCAAGTTCCTAACCTGCCCAAGAGTAACTAATCCTGACTTGACAGCACAAACCCATTTTGCCCATTTTTGTAATGTAAATGGAATCATACACTATGTTCTATTTTTTATTTGGCTTATTTCATTTGATATTATGCTTCTGAAGCCACCCTTAATGTTGCACGCACATAGCTGTAATTGCCCGTTCTCAGTGCACATAATATGCCACTGAAGGAATACGACCCAATTTGTGCATTCACTCTACTGCTGATGGGTAGTCCACAGTTTGCAGCCTATTAAGAATTGTGCTGCTATGATATGAACATTTAAATGCATGTCTTTTAGTCAATACATGTGCATGTCTATTGCATCAATTTACACGTTCACTAAAAGGGTGCAAGAACTCTGGTTGCCCCACATCCTTGCCAACTTTGCCTTTTTTTTTCTTTTTCATTTTAGCCATTCTGGCAGTTGTGTAACAGTATTACCAAAATATTTCATAAATATATTTTATTCATTATACTTTGTTTGCTTCTAAAAAGAAATGAAGGCAGCTTATAATAAGTCAGATTAGTTAGAAACATTTTAAAGGTTTTTAAAAATGAGAATTGTAAAGAGGGTAATTACACCAGAATTCTTTATCGGAATGTTAGTAGTACCAGAATGTTAGTAATTACTACGATTCAGCATAAAACTTATTTCTGAAATTCCAGCAGCTCATACCAAGAGACATGTGTTAAGTTATCTAGCTTTGATTGTCTAATAAAAGGAGTTATAATGATGGTCAAAAGGAATTTTGTTTGTAGGTTTAGATCAGAGTTCACAACATAATAGATACTGCCTTCAACGGCAATTTTATAAAAGACACAGAAATGCTTTGCGTAAGGTTCTAATTTCTTAAGGCATCTCTACACAAGCTGTAGATATATCTATATTATGATTCACTGAGGTAGCTCTTCAATAAATGAAATTCTCAGAGAAAATGGCTTCTTGGACTTCCCTTTAAAAATATAAGTTGTCTTGGAAAAAATAATTTTCTGATTATAAAGGTAATAAATGTTGATTATGAAAAGTAGAAAATAAAAAGAAATTGAACATTAAGCCCACCACTCAGAGACAGCCTTTTAGACAGGTTTCCTGATATTACATTTTAGTTACATACTTTCTCCTTTTTTTTTAAAATCAATATGTGGTTTGTGCTACCTATCCTATTTTGTGAATAGTTTAAGAGCTAAAGAACTAATTTATTTATTTAATCAGAACTCTACTAATGAAATAGATTGCTCCTAACTTCCTGCTATGGAGACCACGCTTGAACATAAATATTTGTGTACATTTCTAATTATGTCGTTATAATAAATATCTAGAAGTAAAATTATTAGGTCAAAAATAATATGCCCATGGGGGATTTGGTACACTGCCAAACTGTCCCCACAGCCTAACTCGATTTACACCCTCGTTAACCTGCATGAAAGGACTTGTGCTATTGCATTTCACCAACCTCAGATGTTGTCTCAGATTTCTACCATTTGCTAGTTTGATAGGTTTAAAAAAAGATATTCCTTCTTGCATTCTCTAATTCTTTGGTTTATAATTGAGATAAACATCATTTCCTAAGTCTGTTGGCTACCTGAATTTCTGAATTTGTGAAGTGCTATGGTGTTCTTCAGTTCAACTAGTAAGTATTTATTACAAACCTAATAGCCAGGACTGTGCTGGGTACTGCAACATAGGAATATACCAAAAACATAGGAAAATCATCGGTGACATTCCCTCGAAAGTTGCCAGGGCCTTACGCATTAGCTCTCTGGATGCTGAAGAACGCTACTGAAAATGCAGCTCTGGCTACCAGCAGAATTCGAGGGGAGCTGTTCATATGGCGGCTTACTCGTTGAGCTCTATGGTGAGGTCACATCACCTGCCTTCTACTAGCAATGGTGGAATGACATGTACCAAGTTTGTCTGAAATATGTATCCAATTATTTAGGAGTAAGTTTAAGAGGAAATGTAAACAGATACAAGAGATGGAAGGAGAGAACCATAACCAAAACCAAATCAAACAGGGGCCCAAACCCAGGTCACAGGGTCAGGGTGAGCCAAAGCCTGCGGGGAAACTGCTGGGAACTTTGATTCAAGGCTTTTAGGGAATGATGTTTCAATAAAGATGAGAGAAAGAGAGGTCCTTTGTTCGAGAAACATGGTGCTCTTTCCTTTCTGCATTCTTGATTCTGAACGATTCTGCAATAGCAAGTCTAAAGCACAGATGGCTAGCACAGGGCAGGACACTGTGCCTAAGCTTAAGGCATCTGTCCCAGACCCTACCAGCATTCAACCTATGCATCATGAATGTGAGGACACTGGCAGGACGCTGATCAGAGTTTCTGAGGACAAATCTTTAGGAAATCACTCACAAAAGAACAGAATCCAGATTCAGACTCAAAAGATCAGGACAGGATGGAGCAAGAAGCCAAAACCACTTTGAAGAAATTCAAGAGCTAAGTGAAAATCTGAGCATTGTTTACAAATTGTTAGAAACCAACCACAGAAGCAGAGAATGAAAAGAACCCAGACTTAACAGCAGTCATGGAGGAAAAAGTCCAAGTGGTCTTTACCAGTTGGCAGAACACAGCCGAGACGTGACGAGGCTGCCAGAGGACCGGCTGTCTGGCTCCAATAACACCTGGAGGGCCGCTAACTCCTTCCACACAGGAGCCCCCGCCCTGCTAGCTGGGCTGCCTTGGGAGGGCCGGGAACCAAGCCTGGAGCCCACGGGGTACGCAAGTCACAGCCAGGGTATGTGAAGGAAAGGATAAACCTTGAAGGGGATGAGACAGCCATCTTCAACTCTCTGTACAGCTATCAGGTAGATAAAGAATGAAATTCATTTTGGGTAGTCTAGAGACAAAACATGGGGAAAAAAGTGGTCCTAATGTAACAATAGGTACCACGTGTTGAGGGAGAAAGGGTGCCTACATGCCAAAGCTCTCCGCAAACTGTACCAGTAAGTCCAGATAAAACCTGTATGCGAATGTTCATAGCATCATTACTTAGAAAAACTAAAAAAATGGAAACAACCCAAATGCCCGTTAACTAATGAACTGATACACAAAATGTAGGATACCCATCAATGAAACTGAATTTTTAGCAAAAGAATGAAGTACCGAGGCCCCCAACAGCAAAGGTTTGAAAACACTATGCTTAGTCAAAGAAGTCATCTGCCCAAGACCATATATTTGTGTCATTCCATATATATGAAATGTCTCTATTAGACAAATCCACAGACAGAAAGATCAACCTCCTTGTTGATTTCAGATGGACACACCAGGGGCGTCTAACAGTTAGAGTCACACAACTCGGCAGGCTGTCTAAGAGCAGCACCAGCACCTCCTCAGGGGTTCTGGCAGGGTCTAGACATCACTCATAGGGGCTGGAGAAGGGGGTTCTGCCCACCTAGGAGGGTACACTGGGTAACCTCTTAATTTTCTCCAGCTGGAAGGCTATTCTGCTCTCTGCTGCAAATCTCAGAACACCATGGAGACGTTCCTCCAACTACATGCTGTTCCTTTAAGCTGTTCTTGGTTCCACGTACTTAAAAAATGGTGATTTTCCTCTAATTGTCTTCCACTGTCTAAAATAACAAGATTTCAATTCTGTGATTTATTTCAATCATTCAACAGAAGAATAGGAGCTAAATAAATGAGCCATAGAAATATCTGAGGTCAGCTGGTATACTTACTGTGAAGTTCATTTCCTTAATGGGTCGTTCCAGGTGTTCAAATCCCACGATCACCGTGTACTGAGTGTAATTCAAGTAGCCAAGGTGGGCCACAATAATTTCTGCACACTTCTGCAAATACACATAGTATGTGTCTTTAAAGCAAGATTCACTGTCCCACCAACGGACCCACGAAGCAACACATTTCAACAACAGATGATCAGAACTGACCATCTCCAGAAAACATACCAGAAGCCCAGAAAATTCAGATGCCAACCAGAAAAAGTTCTTGGAAAAAAAAGAGCCAGACAGGTATTTTTGGAAATAAGTAACAAACGATTTACAGTCATTATAATCTTTCTACTTTGGATGATTCAAAATAACTATCTTATGCAGTTGACATGTTAATAATGCAACACAAACCGGTCATTTCCACAAATACATATGTGCACAGGGACATGTAAGCTAAAGCACAACAAATCAGACCCCTCAGCCTAACTTTCCTCCCCGGTCCTCTTCTGCTATTCCTTGAAGTGAGACCACGAGGGGATGATGTTTTCCTTTCCCCGTCAGCCCCACAGAGGCCCTGCAATCTCTGACAGGAGGCAGGCCCACAGTCAAAGCAAAGGCTGTGTGAAAAACAGCCAGTGTGATCAGAGATGTGCACACTCATTTGTCTGCCAAAAGCCCTTTTTTCTGTCCCTCAGAATTAAGGGTCAGGTCCCTCAGGTCTCCTCTAGTTCAAGGTGGTCAGGGGCCTGAAAGCCTCACCACTGCAGATGTGGACATGGACTCGGTGGCCAAGTAGGCTGCTTAGGGTAGACAAGTTGTCTTCTTTACATCAAAAGAAAGGTAGCATCAATGGGTGGACAATGTCTCATAAAATTCTGCCTTTTTTAAAGTCAGGGAAAAAAGCTCCTTGCAGGGTTTGGGTGAGCCTTGAGCAGAGAGCAAACAACAGAAAAGAGGTGACACAATTAAACTTTAGTAGGGGAACCAGTGGGAGAGGGGAGACACCACTGCACGCATGGAGAGCCCCCCGTCAAGAGACACAGGATGGCAGGCGCTCTGAGAAGCAACAGTGAAGACCGTGGCCTTACCAGCAGCCTGGGTCTATTCAAAGAACAGGCTCCAGGCAGGGCGACCAACTTGTCCCAGTTGGCCTGAGATTTCCACGGTTTAAAACAGAAAGTCCCACATCCTGGGAAACCCCTGTGTCTGGCCAAACCAGGAAAATGAGTCATGCCAGCCTTAGGATAAGGTCATTGACCACCTGCTCAGTCTGAGAAACAGCAATACCAGGTACTGACACTCTGGCCAAGGCTGGCTTCCAGGCCCAGTCTGCCTGGGAATGGGGAGAAGGCTACTGCTTGTAGAGTGGTCCTTCTAGACCCCCACACCTATCATCCCTCCTGATCATTCAGCAGGCACGGTGGGGTCACCCAGCTGCCTCCGGTGCACTGACAGCACCAGCTCTCACACCCATTATTCAGCCTGCTCCCCACTGCCGGGGCGGGCATAACTCCTTGCACAGAAGGGGAAACGCATGTTAGGAACAGCTCTGCTCACACAGGTGCTACATGGAGGCAGCAGAACAGAGCCCAGTCCCTCGGGGTACCCGCCCGAGGGCACAGTGGGGGGCAGACACAGCTCTGCTGGGAGGCAGCCATGCTGTTGGCACTCCTCGGCAATAACCCGTCCTTGTTGGGCTGCAGTTCTGCCCCTTCCCAGTAGCCTCTAGTGGTTGTCAGAAGAGAATGACTGAGGACAGTGGCCAGCCATTGAACAGGAAGGCATCCCAATCTGAATTCTTCCTTGCCAGGATAAACAGGCCTGCATTTCACTGTCCCTAACTAGACTGTGTGTGGGGGTCCCAAGGGCAAAGCATTGGAATAAAAGAGCCTGGGCAAAAATCCTGGAACTTCATTCTCCACCTGTGTCACCCTGGGGAAGTGCTCTAGACTCTCTCAGCCTTGGTTTCTTCTTGGTAAAAAGATTATAATGAAGCTCCTGCTCCGTGGGCCTGACTGGATGAGATGATGTATGCAAAGTCCTGGCATGCAGTCCGTCAGGGAGACTGCCTTCCTCTAGGCAAACGCATGCTCTTGGAGATGGCTCCTCTGGTAGCCCATTTAGTAATGATGGGGCCTCCTCCCTACAGCAGGGACCTCTTGCAATTCTCCAGATCCTGCCAGAATAACAGTGCCAACAAAGCTGAGAACGAATGGGCTCCTTCCTCTCTTGAAGCCACCAGGCCCCCATCCACAGCCACACACTGCATCTGGAAGCAGAAGCTCAAAAAAGCAGGCCACTCTTTCTAAACCCTGGGTCTCAGCTTCCTGACACAGATCGGGGTGTTCATCACCCGCTGGCAATAACCCAAAGCCCTGGCAATTCAGAATGACCATGGAACAGTGGCCAAGCTCGTGTGTGACAGGCAACCCATAAACAGTCATAGGCACACGCTGGGCACACAAACAGGAAAAACAGGTATCAGGAATGCTGAGGGTGTGTGCATACGTGTGTTAGAGCATGTGCACATATTATGTGCATGCATGTGTGTGCGCATGTACGTGTGTAAATCTGTTTAGAATTTATAAAGGTAGCAGTGTATAAAGGTAAACAAATTTTCCATGTTATAATTGGTATGACTTAATTTTTTACTTAAGAAAGCAGATATGCAATCATGTAACATGAATAATCACAGATCATTCAAAGGCACTCACCCCTGCACACGTGAGGGTCCTTGTCCGATTGTGGACTTTGTTATGAATGAACGTGGTGGTTCCATCTTGAGCCACACCATCGACCTTAACAGTCATGAGAAACTTTATCTGAATAGACATTTCTGTGAAAGAAAGAAATTCAGTGTCAGAGATCACATCAGGCCTGTCACACCTGCCCAGGTGCCTGCCTGGGTCTGTGATGGCCCAGGGGGGTCTTCTGACCATGTCAGCCTCAACGTATTTGACAAGCTCATAGCTGACAGCAAATTAAAGCCTACCCATTAGGTTCTACCTCCAACCTGCTACCTGGGGGCCTGTGTAAAATCTACATTTCAGATCTGATTATACACTGCTTGTTAAAAAAATTAGAGAACAAAAGATATAAAGATCGCATTAATAAAAATAAAAACACAAATTTTTTTTTAAAAGATGGCATTAAATACTTAAAATCCTACTACCTAGAGAGAACCATAATTAACGTTTGTGTCCATCTTTCCAGACCATTTTCTAGACATACAACTACATCGTGATATCAAATTTATGCTTTCTAAGATGTTACAAAATAGGAGTTAATTTTTTTGTAGTAAGCATTTTTTTCACTTAATTTACTGTGGTCATGAGGTTACCTTTTCAAGTTCTTTCTCAACCAAAGCACTTCGTCTGAATCAGAGCACAGAAGATTATGTGGGTGGCCATCTTCTCAGTTCTCCCAGGGGTGCACTTAACTAGGGCCACTCTTGGCAAACGGCACTAGTTCACGGTAACTGGGTGCTGGGGCAGCACCAGTAGTTTGAGGCCAGACCATTCTTTCAGGGGGCTTTCCTGTGCACTGCAGGATGTCTAGTGGCCCTGGCCTCCACCCCCACCTCCCTATGTGACACCCAAAATGTCACCGTGTCTCTAGACATCACCAAGTGTCCCTGGGGAACAGAACCACTGCCTTACGGCATCTGGACTTAACTGTCTCCCAGTGCCCCCGCTGTGCAGCCACTGAGCCCACTGACCTGCCCGAGCGCTACACCGCCTCCTCTGAGGTCACTGAAGGACATCTACCAGCCTTTCAAGTTGTTGCTACTATAAAGAACTATGGTGATCCCTGTAATCCATCTTTAAGCATTTGTTCAAAGACTTTAAAACTCTTTCAGCAAAATGGTGAATGTACCAACTATGGTGTATTGTACAAAAAAAACTCCAAAATGTCAGGCTTCATACCTTTTGATTGCTCAAACTCAACAACACATGTCAGCCATAGTTGCTGATTATACGTAGACAATGGATTTGAAAGTATTTGAATTGGCTTTAGCTGAAGAAAAAGAAAAAAAAGTTAAGTAATCCATGTGACCTTTTCATGGAGTTTACCAATAACCCACCTTAACATACAAAATTTACATTTAGCAGAAAAGGTTTCAGGGTTAGCTCTGAAACAGAAAATGTGTCATTTTTCTTTTGATAGTCTAAGTGAAATTCTGCCTTCCAGGAAAAGAAAGGACTAACTTTCTGCTGCAGTGCACTTCTGTCTCCCATGAAAACCTCTAAGCAGGCAGTATTCACACCTGCAGCTTTCAGGCAACGTATGTACTTAAATACCAAGAGAAGGCCGTCTTGGTAAAAAAAAATTAAAAGCACACATACTGAGACATAACAAGATAATAAAGAACACCAAAGTCTTTTCATATTCATGAGAATCATTCCTTTAGTAGCAATATAGCAGAGGTCATTTGCAGTTTCAGAAAAGCCTTCAGACCCCTGGAGAGAAAAATCAGAGGGGCCATGTTGCCAATGATACGTCTACTGCGTCTGCTGAAAAACACAGTGAGACACAGAGGAAGCTGTTTAGGGGCCCCATTCATGGCCCCACAGAAAAGCATTATGTGAATGCAGAGCCTGGACATGATGTGTGGTTTTCTGATTTAATACTCAATGAAAAGTCCCCGTGGCTAGACTTGCCCAAAAGCCATCAAGGGCAGGAAACCTATCAGAGGATGATCTATAATCTCTCAGAAGTTGAGGAAGATCCTTTGGGAGCAAGGAAAGTTCTGTGCAGGCTGCTATTTTCAGTGTCAAGAAAAGACTTCCATCCTGAGAGACAGAAATTTTAAAAGAACCAACTATGACCAAGGAACCCCACGGCGCTACCTCTTCAAATCTAATCCTCTGTCCAAATTAAAGAAAATGAATTCAAACAAATGTGACAATGGACTAAACAGAGGGCTCTTGCAAGCTAGCAGTATACAAAGAGGAGAATTAAAAAGCTAAGTTTTAGGACATTTTTCTCCTTTTGCCCTTTTGAAATTTCTAAGGGTAGAAACCTACCAGGGAGCTGGGAGAACAGAGACAATGGGGTACTTGGGGTCAGATGACCACATTTAAACATGCTACGGTGCCATGAGAATGCAGGAAAACTACATCCAGTTTATAGATAAAAATATTATGTCTGATACCCAGAAAAGTAAAAAGCTGTAGTTGTTTGGGCTATCCCAAGTTAGCATTCAGTAAGGAATGCCAAAATGCTCTAATTAAAAGGACCTTTGTTTTTCTCTAAAGATGGTGAAGTATCAAGGCTGATTAAAAAAAGAAAACGGATTTTTTATTTAAATTGAGTTCATGCAAGGCATACCAAACAATCATTAGAACGGACTGTCACTGTTACAAACCTGACATAGAGACCACGTCTTAACTTGGGCAAACATAGTAAGAAAGGTTCAGATACCTAAGTGAGCACTGTTAGAACTTATAATCTAGTAAGACTTGTAGACATAAGGAATCGGGATGAGTTAACCAACCTTTGGAAATGAATTGCTGTTCCCTAAGAGGTAACGCTACCATCCCTTCTCAGTACTAAGGTATTTATTACAGCAGAAAAGGTCATTTTAGCAAACAAGAGCCCAAAGACGAGCAGCTGACAGTAGACTAAGAAATGTGTGTTGCCTGAGAAACAAGGGGCAGGGTAAGGGTGGTTTTCCTTAAAGACTCTACGCAGGACCACTTCTTAGTAACCCAGAAGTATATAGGGTCCCCACGAGCTACCACTTAGATGCAGGCTTACCTTTTTGCTATTATTTAGTGAAAAATTAGCTGCAGAAGTCTGGATCACTTTGGGTCCTAAAGTATAACAGAAAAAGGACAAAAAAAGCAGGTTACATCTATACTGATAATTAATTATTTTTTTTCAAATGCCAAGAATCAGACTTACATATTATACAGAGATGGTCTTAACTTTGTGGTCTGTCTTTAGAGGTTATAGATATACATAAAACATATAACCATACAGACACACAATACCCATCCTGCTGCGCTTCCTGACTTGCCTGTGCAGGTGAATGCAATGGATGAGATTTCTCAACTGGGCCATGGGGTGCCCAGGTGCTTGGCTAAATGTTATTCCGGGTGTGTCTACAGGGTGTTTCTGGATAAGACTAACATTGAATCAGTAGACTGAGTAAAGCAGATTGCCCTCCCTGCTGTGGGCAGACCTCATCTAAATAGTCGTAGCCTGAGTGGAATAAAAGACTAAGCTGAGAATTTGCGCTCGCTGCCTGGGCATGCTCTCTGTCTTCAGGCGGGCCCATCAGTTTTCAGTTGTCTTCAGACACAAACTGGAACTTATTCTATCAGCTCTCCTGGGTCTCCAACTTGCCAACTGCAGATCTGGAACTTCTCAGCCTCCATGATCATGTGAGCCAATTCCTTATAATAAATCTCTCTCTCTCCTCCCTCCTCCTCACCCCTCACCCTGTTCCCTTTCTATACATATATCTCCTACTGATTCAGCTTCTCTGGAGAACCCAGACTAATGCAGAATTTGGTACTGAGAGTGGTTCTAGAGGAACAGAATGTTAAGGGTGAGTCTTCCATAACAGCTCTGAGGTTTCTCGAATTGGTTCTCTAATCTGATTGGATTTTAAAATTCTAATGACTGCATGTCCAGTACAAAAGAGAGCACTGGCAGTCCATGAAAATATGCAAAATACCTCCTAATAACCATTTACAAGAAGCCAGCTAGTGCGTTTATGACACGTTAGAACATCTCTGAAAAACTAACAAATATAATGAGGTTACCTAGTTGGCCCCCCAGAGACTGCTGCATGCAAGGCAATGCTGGTTTTCTTCAAGACCCAACCCCATCCCTCTCTGCTTCTAGAACTATAACCAGACTCAAGTCCAGACAGGCCCCTAGAGGTGAGAGACCAAGTGGGCCCTGAGAGAGGATGCACTACACTCCAGAAGAGCTGACTTCTCTGACTCAGCAGGCCAGAACTCCGGGGACACGTGGGATTGGATCCTAAGGATGTGGGTCACAGTGGCGGCAACATGCAGTGGACCAGGCTGACTTTACGGACATGGGCTCCCTGGGCAGAAGCTATGCACTGAATGTCGTAGCTCAGGGAGTCAGGAAGGTCTCCAACAGTTTGGTTGGTTGGCGAGACATGGACCAAAAGGTGAGCCCCAGTAATCAAACGAGAAACGTGGCACCGCCTTAGTTTCCTATAGAGGAAGGGAGTCAGAGGTTTAGGGAGACCGGAACAGAGGGGGGATTTGTCATTTAAGACTTACTGGGAGATCCCCGAAGACATCCCTTTCACCACTACTGTGAAAAACACATTTGTGAGGGGCGCCCAGCATCCCTAAAGAGCTCTGTGTATGTCCTTCTCTTAAAGTGGGAACTGATAACTGAATTGGGAAAACAAAATGCAGTGGGAGTAATTGGATCCCAGGGGAGGCAGGAGCCAGTTACGGCACTCAACAGCCACAGGCGAGGAGGGTGTGGGTATCTTTCATGGACGGCAGAGGCAAAGCAGCACCCAGACTGGTTCACACAGGCCAGCTGATAATGGTGTTCCTACGAATACATAGGAAGCCTACTAAATTCTTTCCTGATCTGTGTAAGCAGAAAAGCTCTAAGGCAAGAGAAGAAAAGTCCAACATTAACCATAAAATGTATACTGTTACTGTTTTCCAAAGGAACCTATGGCCTTTTACCAGGATAACTGTGTACCAAGTAAAAGGAAATAATCTGACATTTCAGACTGGACACTGGCTCTGAACCAACACTAATTCCAAGAGACCCAAAAATGTCACTTTGGCCTCAGAGTAGGGACTTCTGGCAGCCTATCATTGCAGTTTTAGCTCAGGTGCCTGAGCTAATGGGCCCAGTGGGTTCCCAGTGCCTCCTTTGGTTAATTCCCCAGTTCCAGAATGCATACTTGAAAAAGACAATTCAGCAATTGGCAGAATCCCCACAATGGTTCCCTAACTTGTGGAGTGAAGGCTATTATGGCGAGAAAAGCCAAAGAGAAACCACTAGAATTGACTCTACCTAGAACATAGTAAACCAAAAACAGTATCAGATATTTTGGGGGACTGTTGACATGAATGCCATCATCAAGGACTTGAAAAACTTGTGGGCTCAGCCTGTGCAGAAGGCAGATGGATCTAGGAGAGTGACAGTAGATTGTCTTAAGTCTAACCAGGTGGGGATTCCAACTGCAGCTGCTGGACCAGATAGGGATTCACTGTTTGAGCAAATTCACACGTCCTCTGCTATGTGTTATGCAGCTACAGATTTGGCAAATAATTTTTTCTCCATCCCTGACAAAAGGCTCCACAGAAGCCATCTGCTTTCAGCTGGCAAGACCAGCAATACAACACCTTCACTGCCTCGAAGGTATAGCAACTCAGCAGCCTCTCCAGAAACCGTGATCACCCTTCCTTCCACAAGCAGTCATACAGTCCATTACGTTGAAGACATTATGCTGACTGGACTTAGTGAGGAAGAAGTAGCTAGCAACTACTCACAACTTACTGGTAAGACGTTTGCATGTCAGAGAATGGGAAATAAATCCAATAAAAACTCAGGGGCCTCCCACCTCAGTGCAGTTTCCAGGGGTCCAGTGGTGTGCTGGTAGAGCTATCCCTTCCAAGATGAAAGAGAAGTTGCTGCATCTGGCCCCTCCGACAACCAGAGCAGAGGCACAACACCTTGTGAACTGCTGTGGACTTTGGAAGCAACATGTTCCCCATGCGGGTGTGATACTCTGGCTTATTTACCTAGTGACCTGAAAAGCTATTAGTTTTGATTGGGGCCCAGAACAAGAGAAGGTTCTGCAGCAGATCAAGGCTGCTGTGCATGCAGCCCGGCTGCTGGGCCGGGTGATGCAGCAGATCCAGCAACCCTTGAGATGTTGGGGGCAGATAAGGATGCTGTGCGGAGCCTTCAGCAGGGCCCTAGATGTAAATACCAGGGCAGGCCCTTAGGACTTTGGAGTGAAGCCCTCCATCCTCCACTGAAAACTACTCTCCTTTTGAGCAACAGCTTGTGGCCTGCCACTGGGCCTTAGTAGACTGACAGCTTACCCAGGGGTCCCCAAGTGACCACGTGACCTGGGCTGCCCATCACGGACTGGGTGTTACCTGATCCACCACTCCTTGAAACTAGGTGTGCGTGGCAGCAGCCATCATCAGGTGGGAGTGGTGGACGAGGGCCCTGACCCGGGCAGGCCTGAAGGCCCAAATAATTCATGAGGCGGTGGCCCAGGTGCCCAGGGTCCCCACTCCTGCTTCGGCGCCTCCTGCAGCCGGAGCCCCACGTGGCGTTCCCACCATCAGCCGACAGGAGAGAAGATGTGGCCTGGTTTACAGATGATCCTGAGGAGGCGCAGGTACCTCCCAAGGGACAGCTACACACACAGCCCCTCCCTGGGGGGGGTCCCTGAAGGACGCAGCCAAAGGAACTCCTCCCAGCGGGCAGAAATTCAGGCAGGGCATCTGGATGTTCACTTTGCCTGGACTGAGAAACCGCCTGACTGCTGAGGGACACTGCCGTCCACCCTGGAGGCTGGGAGGAGGACATCTAAGGAGGTCACTTAGGGCATCTCGGTATCACCACCCTGGGATTATAGTCAGTGGAAAACCACACAAGCAATCCCAGCAGGCCTACCAGTGACCTGATGCTTCAGGAATGAAGGTCTGGGTCATCCCAGCAGGGTGCGAACCACAACCGACTGAGGTGCTTGCTGAGAGTAAAGGGCACATGGACTGGGCAGTGGAATAAAGTAGTCAGAAATATGTTATGGCCACAGGACAACTTACAGAAATGAGGACTTTAACTGTCACAAGTACTTCCTCCTGATTTTGTCATAAATATGCTTGTGTGTATGTGTGTATACACATATATAACAAGCAAGTATCTTTTTATTCCTCTTATTCCCTTATCAAATAACATCAGATGTATTACTGACTTGATATTATAGTATTTAATATTGCTAACTTTATGCCACATTAAGCCACAGGATACGAAAGAGAAGTGTAAACATTACTCAAGGATTTTACCTCCTCTTCTGGGAAGGGATAGTGAGTTTTTGGTTGTGCACAGGTTAGCAATACCATGTCAAGTGGAATTATGACCCTTTATTGTCTGTATGTGGAGATTTAAGGAGATGCATATGGATGCCAAGGTGACAAGGGGTGGACTGGTGATGATTAATTTTATATATCAACTGGACTGGGCCACAGGTTGCAAGATATTTGGCTGAACATTATTCTAAGTGTGCCGGAGGGTGTTTCTGGATGAGCTGAACATTTGAATGGGCAGATGAGTAAAGCAGATCACCATCCCCAATATGCATGGGCCTCATCCAATGCACTGAAGGAAAAGGCTGAGTAAGAGGGAATTTGCTCCCTTTGCCTGACTGTCTTCAAGCTGGGACCCTCGTCTTCACCTGCCTTCAGACTTGGACTCAGACCAGAACTTACACTACCAGCAATCCTGCCTCTCAGGCCCTGGGACTCAGACTGGAACTATATCACCCCATTGCTTCCTAGTCTCCAGCTTGCTGAGTGCAGATCTGGGGACCCCTTCGCCTCCATAATCATCTGAGCCAATTCCTTACAATAAATCTTCATGCCTCATCTGCATATATCCTATTAATTCCGTTTCATACATATACTGTTTCTCCAGAGAACTCTAAAACTAGTATTCTATGGGAAGAATGAAAGGGATATAGAAATCCTGACACCATTTTTCTTACAGCTGCCTTGGTGTATCACTTTTCATTTCTGCCAGAGTAGAGAAGGTTGAATATAATCATGGATGTTTGCGTTAGTGGCTTATGGAAACAAGAGTTGGCTGAGGCTCCATGAGATGAGAGAGATCATGAGAATATTAATGCCTCCTCTACCAATCTTAAAAGACAGCTGTGAAAATCAAGCGGGATAAGTGCTATGTCTTCTGCTGTGTTAATGGAGTTGATGTTCCTTGGTGACTTTATGGCAAAGAAATGAGGAGGCTGCTATGGTGCTATGGTCACCATCATCCTCTTTAGCAGCAGCAGGCAGGTGTCATCTAAACAACCACCCACTCCACCAGCTTCGTTCACCAACCCAGGTTTCCCTTTAGGCTCAGAAACTAGCCTTTTGAGGCACAACTGCCTCTGGACCAGGGTAAGCCTAACTGTCATTCACATGTTAATGTTAAGTACTTTAATTAAATTAATGCCTACCAGAAACCACCCTCAATTGAAAATATATTTAAGGGGGGAAGAAGAAACAGCCTGTGAGGGTCCCTTCCCTTGGACTGAAAAGACCGGGCTCTGGAGCCTTATGAAAACCAGCCAGATCAGAAATGAGAAAGGAAAAATCACTACAGACACCACAGAAATACAAAGAATTATGAGAGAATACTATGAAAAATTATATACTAACAAACTGGATAACCTAGAAGAAATGGACAACTTTCTAGAAACCTTCCAAGGCTGACCCAGAAAGAAACAGAAAATCTGAACAGACCAATTACCAGCAACGAGACTGAATTGGTAATCAAAAAGCTACCTAAGAATAAAATGCCTGGACCAGATGGCTTCACCACTGAATTTTATCAAACATTTAGTGAAGACCTAATACCCATCCTCCTTAAAGTTTTCCAAAATGTAGAAGAGGAGGCAATAGTCCCAAACTCATTCTATGAGGCCAGCATCATTCTAATACCAAAACCAGGCAAAAACACCACAAAAAAAGAAAATTACAGACCAATATCCCTGATGAACATAGATGCAAAAATACTCAACAAAATATTAGCAAACCAAATTCAAAAATACATCAAAGAGATCATCCGTCATGATCAAGTAGGATTTATTCCAGGGATGCAAGGATGGTACAACATTTGAAAATCCATCAACATCATCCACCACATCAACAAAAAGAAGGACAAAAACCACATGATCATCTCCATAGATGCTGAAAAAGCATTTGACAAAATTCAACATCCATTCATGATAAAAACTCTCCACAGAATGGGTATAGAGGGCAAGTACTTCAACATAATAAAGGCCATATATGACAAACCCATAGCCAACATCATACTTAACAGCAAGAATCCGAAAGCTTCTCCTTTAAGATTGGGAACAAGACAAGGATGCCCACTCTCCCCACTTTTATTCAACATACTTCTGGAGGTCCTAGCCACGGCAATCAGACAACACAAAGAAATAAAAGGCATCCAGATTGGTAAAGAAGAAGTTAAACTGTCACTGTTTGCAGATGACATGATATTGTACATAAAAAACCCTAAAGAATCCACTCCAAAACTACTAGATATAATATCTGAATTCAGCAAAGTTGCAGGATACAAAATATACAGAAATCTGTTGCATTCCTATACACTAACGAATAAAGCTGCTTTCCATTCATTAACAAATAAGAATAAAGCTGGGGGGGTTATACTCCCCAACACCAAGCTCTACTACAAAGCCACAGTAATCAAGACAATTTGGTATTGGCACAAGAAAAGACCCATAGACCAATGGAACAGACTAGAGAGCCCAGATATAAACCCAAACATATATGGTCAATTAATATACGATAAAGGAGCCATGGATATACAATGAGGAAATGACAGCCTCTTCAACAGCTGGTGTTGCCAAAACTGGACAGCTACATGCAAGACAATGAAACTGGATTACTGTCTAACCCCATACACAAAAGTAAACTCCAAATGGATCAAAGACCTGAATGTAAGTCATGAAACCATAAAACTCTCAGAAGAAAACATAGCCAAAAATCTCCTGAATATAAACATGAGCAACTTTTTCCTAAATGCATCTCCTCAGGCAAAGGAAACAAAAGCAAAAATGAACACATGAGACTACATCAAGCTAAAAAGCTTCTGTACAGCAAAGGATACCATCAGCAGAATAAAAAGGCATCCTACAGTATAGAGGAATATATTTGTAAATGACCTATCTGACAAGGAGTTAACATCCAAAATATATAAAGAACTCACACACCTCAAGACCCAAAAGCAAATAAATAACATGATCAAAAAATGGGTGGTATATATGAACAGACAATTCTCCAAAGAAGAAATTCAGATAGCCAACAGGTACATGAAAAGATGTTCCACATCACTAATTATCAAGGAAATGCAAATTAAAATGACAATGAGATATCTCCTCACAACAGTAAGGAAGGCCAGCATCGAAAAGACTAGGAACAATAAATGCTAACGAGGATGTGGAGAAAGGGGAACCCTCCTACACCACTGGTGGGAATGTAAACTAGTTCAGCCATTGTGGAAAGCATTATGGAGGTTCCCCAAAAAACTAAAAACAGAACTACCATTCGGCCCGGGAATCCACTCCTAGGAATTTACCCAAAGAATACAACTTCTCAGAATCAGAAAAACATGTGCACCCCTATGTTTATTGCATCACTAATTGCAATAGCCAAGATATGGAAGCAACCTAAGTGTCCATCAGTAGATGAATGGATAAAGAAGATGTGGTACATACACAATGGAATACTATTCAGCCATAAGAAACAAACAGATCCTACCATTTGCAACAACATGGATGGAGCTAGAGGTTATTATGCTTAGTGAAATAAGTCAGGCAGAGAAAGACAAGTACCAAATGATTTCCCTCATTTGTGGAGTATAACAACAAAGCAAAAGTGAAGGAAAACAGCAGGAGACTCACAGACTCCAAGAAGGGACTAGTGGTTACCAAAGGGGGTGTGTGTGGGAGGTGGGTGGGGAGGGAGGGAGAAGGGGATTGAGGGGTACTATGGTTAGTACACATGGTGTGGGGAGGACCACGGGGAAGACAGTGTAGCACAGAAAAGACAAGTAGTGCCTCTGTGGCATCTTACTACACTGATGGACAGTGACTGTAATGGGGTATGGGGGGTACTCAATAATATGGGTAAATGTAGTAACCACACTGTTTTTCATGTGAAACCTTCATAGGAGCGTGTATGAATAATACCTTAATAAAAAAAAATTGTATCAAAAAAAAAAAAAAGAAGAGAAAACCAGCCGACTTCTCTGCTTCTGCTGCCCATCTGAAAGGGGGTTAGGATAGATGATTTCAAAGGCATTTTCGAAATTAAAATCTGTATGGCAAGCTAAGTGCTGTGGAACCACAGGGCACCTGGGGCCCCAAAGACAAGGCGAAGGCAGATCTGCAGGCTCCCTCCTGCCAAGCGCTCAGGACTCCCCCCTCCCGGCTCCCCTGCAGTCATCCTGGCCGGAGCTCACACCCGTCTCACTCCCTCCCCAGAATCTGCTGTACTGGAGCTGTCCACACAGCCTGTCTTCCCCACCAGCCCACGGGCTCTGCATCCCTGGAGCCAGGTGAGACCCTGAGGCACAAAAGACTCTCCAGAAATGACCATCCAATGTACCTACCTGGTCAAGGCCACCTGGTGCCACCAAGCTGAACTCGGGCCCTGGCGGCAGGACCCAGGTTATCCCTGGGCCCAGAGGGTTCAGAGAGGCAGCGCTGCGCCAAGGAAACTGTAAAGGATGCACAAGAAAAACCACCTTACCTCGGATCCCGACGAAGACGGTCAGGCCAAAACAGACGAAGAAGATGACGAACACGAGGACAAAGTGGCGCTTGGAGAGAGTGTACAACCGCATGGGCGCCAGCCTGCAGAGCAGAAGCCAGTGAGGGGCAGGCACGTGGCTGCGTCCGCAAGGGTCCCGCTGCAACCTGGCAACACCCACAGGCCGTGTGGGACCACTCACTCCGCACCTGCAAGCCCTCACCTCAGAATGGCCTGCTCTGAAGCCAGGGGACCCTGCCTGAAAAAATTACCACGGTGACCACTGCAGGGGGCAAGTAACATCCCAGTCTGTTCTGGGTCAAGGCTCTGCGGAGAGGGTCCCTGCCATCCTGGTCTGCATTGGGCCAGCCAAACTGCCCCTTGGCAGAATGTACTGGGGCACGCTGCACACACCACGTCAGTGGTGGGCGAGCCCCCTGCTCTCCCCATCAGCCGCCAGAGCAGAGCTCACCCACGCAGGCAACGTTAACTCTTAGCCGCCCCAGTGTGGCCACGCTGGGCAGTGCAAGTGCTGCCAGCACCACGTTGTCCCATCTGGTCCTCACTAGCCCAACTTTCCCTGTCCAGGGTCCCCCACAACCTAAGACCCCTCATTTGTGTCACCCCATCATGGTGATGCTCAGCCTGACTGCTGTGTGCTCTGGTCTTGATACAGCTAAGCAAGTTGCCACAGTTTCCTGAGATGTACAACAATATGGAAAGCAGACCAGAGGGTCCACCCTAATGCTCTCCCTACTGGGCTCCCCCATTCACCCCTCCTTCATCCTTTGGTCAGGAGAAAATGGCAGTGGGGCAGGCATCATTTTTCTTTTAGAACTCTGTATACCAGTTCTTTCAGAACTCCCTATCCCTGTGTGTGTGTATACCAGCAAACAAAAGAAAACCCTGTAAAGGACCAGCAACCAACAAGTATGTGCAGCCTGGCAGGCCATGCAGTCTCACCTCCAGTCCTCGGTGAGGCCTCCCTGGGCAGCCCCAGGCATGATGTATGCACAGGTGCGTGGCTAGGCTCCAGCTCACCCCTGCCACACAGAGGTGGCAGGCCAGGCTGGGCCCCCAGGCGGCAGCCCCGACCCTATAACCTAAAGAGGGGATCCATAAACCCAAGGAGTGGGGAGGAAGCAGGGTTTTTGTTGTGTCTGGTTTTTGCATTCTTTTATTTCCCTAGCATTTCCTGGCCTGGGGAGGTGAGACAGCCAGAAGGCATTTCGCACACCTCTCCACTGACAGGCAGCAATACACACATCCCGTCAAGGAGGAGAAACAGGCTTGGAACCAGAAAAAGAGGGAAAAGTTATCTGCTTCTGTGGTCTGAAGCTCCCAAGGCTATGTGCACACACACCCTTTCCCCTACATAGATGAAGAGTCCAGTTCGTGAGCAGGAAATCAGCGGACGGTATCTCAGGGCAAAGGGACAGCCCGGCCCGTAAGCCAACCTGACGTGGCTTTGCCAAGACTGAGTCAGCTCCTGCCAACAGGACCCACCACGCCTCCCGGCTAGCAAACTTCCGATCAGTGTCACTGTGTTTCCCTGAATGACAGGACCAGTGAAGAAATAAGGGGTGGCAGTCTCTGTTTTTAACTCTGGGACTCAGATTCAAAGGCTGAGCCACGACACTGCTGTGAGTGACAAGCGAGAGCCAGCGAAGCAAGTGGCCTGATTCCAACTCAGGATTGAACACAAAGACTAAGAGGCCTGAGAGCCTTAAAATATGAGCTAGAAATTACCTCAGCAAGGAAGTCCAACGTCTTCGATTTGCACGTGGGGAAACTGAGGTCTAGAGACAGCCGGACATTGACCAAGATGTCACAGCTCTGTCCCTTGGCAGTAGCTGCTGTGTGCGCCCCAGGAAGGAGGCTCTGGGAGGCAGGAGGAGCGGGGGACCCACCTCCATGAATGGCCTTCTGGGGAAAGCCCGGGGCATGGGGGGCTGTTGTAAGAACAAGGTCGCCTTTGTCACTTCTCTGCTATCCCCGGGCGTCAAGGATATTAAGCAATGTTTAATTCATTTCTAACACTCTACAGAAGGGGAGATTTCTATGCAGCTCCACAGGGCATTTTCATGAAAAAAATATCACACACAGCGAAAAGGACTAGATGCCAGGGAAACGCCTGTGAGGTCTGTAGTCATCACACCACCCCAAGGCTGACCAGTCAATTTTGATACACGTGCCATGGTTCTGAGACACTGACATGAGGGGAAGCTGGGTGAAGGGTATGCAGAAACACTGTTATCTCTGCTACCCTTTTGAAAATCTATGAACTCTATAAAATCTATAAAAAGTCACAACCCCATTCTGCTGCTCTCCAAGCAACCTGGCCCACCCGGGTGACAACGGCTCTGGGGAGCACGCAGGGCTCCCCAGCAGGGGCAAAGGCACAGAAGAGATTACTTGGAAGCAGAGGAAAACAGAATTATATTTAAATTTCTGATATTTAAAGCACATAATCAATAAAACACAATTATCACTAACTTACTATAAAAGCAGTTATTTAAAAGGTGAGTGACAGCAAAAGATTAGTAAGATCAAATTTCTGCAGCTTACAACCCACCCAGGATATTTTTCCATTTTCTCGTCGAAGGCTCAATAAAATTGTATAATTTCTTTTTCCTTCAAACTTCAGTTTTTTAGTAATTTTCCTGGTTCAGCAATCAAGCCTCATCCAGCTGGATGGAAAACAGACACAGAAAGCAAACAACCCGTCTGTGTTCAAGCAAATGTCACGGCCTGACCTCCCCCACGACGGAGGCCTGCTGGGGACAGAGTGGGCAACAAGCCTGATCCCCGCTCTGTCCTCAGCTTCCCGACAGGCAGTAAACCTTGCCAGGCACCCTCACTCTGGGAAGTGTGCGGTCCGGAGACCCCCTCCAGCCACACGGTGTCAGGGCTGGGGAGTCAGGGGGCAGCACAAACAGCAGGCTTGGGGCACATGACAATGCCTTCCTGTCCACGGATCTTCCTGCACTCAGCTTCTCCTTTAAAAGCCTTGAAACAGTCACCAAAAAACTACAGGCTTCTGAAACCTCAGGAATGCCGCCCTATTGCAGGGAATCACAGTTCTATCCTGCTGTCCAGCCAAAACACCAAAACACTGAGGCACCAAGGTAAAGAGGGCAGTTGCAGGGAGGAGCGAAGGACACGGCTGAGAGACCCGCCTAGGACGCACACTCCCCAGCCTGTCTCCCAGCCGCCTCCCAGTCTGCTTCCCGCTGGACCCAGGCACCCAGCGATTTCTCTGCCCACTTCCCATTTCACCTTCCAGTCAAAATGCTGCTGTGTCTCTGGTAATCAAGAAGAGAGCTCTGTGGTCAGGCCACCAACAGGAGGAAAATCTCTGTAAACACTCAAAAGGCAAGACTGTGATGCAGAAAACACACACGGCCTGCCACGGAGAGGCCTCTGGGCCAGAGGTCAGCAAGTTTAAAATGGAATGTATTAAAAAACAAAATAACATAAATGAAAACCTGCTTCCACTACCCATTTCCTGCCTCTACCCTTTCTCCATACTTTGCAGTCACCTCTAACGCCCGTCTCTCATTCAACCCGCACATCCAGCCAGCCAGGAAGAGGTCACACCTTCCTAACTTCTCATAGGTTCAGCAATCAAGCCTCATCCAGCTGGATGGAAAACAGACACAGAAAGCAAACAACCCGTCTGTGTTCAAGCAAATGTCACGGCCTGACCTCCCCCACGACGGAGGCCTGCTGGGGACAGAGTGGGCAACAAGCCTGATCCCCGCTCTGTCCTCAGCTTCCCGACAGGCAGTAAACCTTGCCAGGCACCCTCACTCTGGGAAGTGTGCGGTCCGGAGACCCCCTCCAGCCACACGGTGTCAGGGCTGGGGAGTCAGGGGGCAGCACAAACAGCAGGCTTGGGGCACATGACAATGCCTTCCTGTCCACGGATCTTCCTGCACTCAGCTTCTCCTTTAAAAGCCTTGAAACAGTCACCAAAAAACTACAGGCTTCTGAAACCTCAGGAATGCCGCCCTATTGCAGGGAATCACAGTTCTATCCTGCTGTCCAGCCAAAACACCAAAACACTGAGGCACCAAGGTAAAGAGGGCAGTTGCAGGGAGGAGCGAAGGACACGGCTGAGAGACCCGCCTAGGACGCACACTCCCCAGCCTGTCTCCCAGCCGCCTCCCAGTCTGCTTCCCGCTGGACCCAGGCACCCAGCGATTTCTCTGCCCACTTCCCATTTCACCTTCCAGTCAAAATGCTGCTGTGTCTCTGGTAATCAAGAAGAGAGCTCTGTGGTCAGGCCACCAACAGGAGGAAAATCTCTGTAAACACTCAAAAGGCAAGACTGTGATGCAGAAAACACACACGGCCTGCCACGGAGAGGCCTCTGGGCCAGAGGTCAGCAAGTTTAAAATGGAATGTATTAAAAAACAAAATAACATAAATGAAAACCTGCTTCCACTACCCATTTCCTGCCTCTACCCTTTCTCCATACTTTGCAGTCACCTCTAACGCCCGTCTCTCATTCAACCCGCACATCCAGCCAGCCAGGAAGAGGTCACACCTTCCTAACTTCTCATTCCCAGCACACCAGTCTTGCAGTCCAGGCCCTTGACACCGCTCACCACGATTACTGCAATGGCCTCCCAGACACATCTTCCTCTGATGAAGAAGTGCCACCCCGCCCCCCGCTCCTGTCATCACAACTACCATCTGAGGTAGGTGCTATTGGTTTCCCCATGTCAGAAATGAGAGTGCTCAGGCTTACAGAGGGACGTAACTTGCCTTAGCTCATAGAGCTACTAAGTGGCAGAAGCAGCATTCAAACGCAAGCATCAGACTCCAGGGCTTATATTCTCTTAACATCTCCTGACATGGGCAGCCCATTCATACACTACTCTCCTGATGTGAAATGCTCTCTCTTCTCCCCACCAAACATCTAAATCTGACCCAGCATGGCTCTCCTGTATATCCCACTCTCTCCATGAAGCTTTCTGTATTTCATATCTCATGGCTGCCCATGTTTGTAAACCATTACAATAGATGTGGCCTGCACTACATAGCTCAGTGCCTTAGGACAAAGTTATCATGATAAGACACATTGTAGGCATTCAGAAATCATCTCAACTCAGCTTTCATTCAGTTATCTCAAAGATGTTCATGTAGTTCCCTCAAATTGGTGGTAAGATGCCAGGGCACCAGGAAAGGGCTCTCCATTTCCCTGTATACCTAGCCAAGCTGAAGAAATCTTCTAGATTTCTACCTAGATAGCCAGGGCAGGAAGACTTCCTACAAACCCTGCCAGCTCATGAAGGGTGTCTCTCCTCTTCCTTTTCTTAATGGACACAGATGTCAGTCTTCACCCTAGGTCCGTTGTCTTTTCACACTCAGGCATCTAATATACAAACTCTATGAACAATTCTGGCCTCACTGCAGCCCCCAATCCCTTGGAGAAGCCTTCAGACACAATGGAACAAAGTATCCCCTTAGCACCAGCGTGGACTCTTTAGGTCCCTTCTAAATTAATTTTGGTTTCATGGATGATTCAAAATATCACAGACATATTTCCTAGAGAAACTAAAAAGAAACTAAAAGCCAGTCCCTAAAATCGCAGCCATAATCCTGATCGCTGTAGCCCTTCCTTCCCTTCATTATGCACATTCATAACCACCTTCCAAGGGGCTGCCTCCAAGTAAGGCGAAGCCTGTGCAGACGTCAATCCCCAAGAGAACACAGCTGGAAAGGCGCTCTGCTCTGCAGGGCTCTCTCAGCCGACTCTCACTATCTTCCCGGGACACATTCGCATAATGCTGCTCTTAGCCCCCTTCCCTTCTTACTTCTCACTCCCTTGGATCTCATAGTTCAGACTCGGAAGACAATGCACCGGCAAACCATTCCACGTTCCTATCTCAGCTCAGCTGAGCTCCAGATTTCCAAGAAACGCCTGCTTGAGTCTTCACTTGGACATCTAATAGGCATCTGGACTAAAATCTGAGCCCAGATGTGCCACAGACCTGTCCTGCTGTGCCCCCACCTCAGGACCTGGCAACTACAGCCTTCTAGGTGCTAAGGCCAAAAACTACAGAGTCACCTCCGACATCTGTCTTTTCCTCACTCCCCACACCTGACGCATCAACAAAGCTTCCAAAATGTACTGAGCCTCGGCCCTTCTCACCTGGGAGGCACCTCTGCCATCTGTCACTAGATTGCAGTGGCCTCCCCTGGCATTAGCACCCCCTACCTTGTTCTCTACCCAGCCACTCCAGTGAAAGCCAGATATGTGTGTCCTCAGTTCAAAACCCTCCGGTGGCTTCCCTATCCTCATAGTGACAGCCAACCATAGATGGCATGCCAGCTATATGGTTCTGGTGTTTGGACACAACTTTGCCACCATCACCCCACTTCACTCTAAAGCAGGAACAGGTGCCCCAGAACATGAAGGGCCTCTCTTCAGGGCAGGGCAGACACCCCACCTGCTCTCCATCCAGGGCCATTTTCTGATGCCCTCCCACCTTTAGCCCCAGCCAGCAAGACCAGCCTCCTGGAACAGATGCTGAAAATGGCACACCCTTGCCTCCCAGCCTCCTCCCACTAGGGCGCAGAACCTGAGGGAGCTCAGCCAGGGGCCATTAGAAAGGTTTCCCTGCCTGATGAAGAGATGGCTGAGAGGAGAAACCTCCTGTCTTCGTATGTAAGCGCTGCCAAGTGGACAGTGCCAACAGGCCCAGGACAAAGAGCCGGGAGATGGCAGCCACCCAGGTCACCAGAGACATGAAGATGGCAGACAGACCCTGGACATGCCCAGCTCAACTTCTGCACAGCCCTGTTGTTTCAGCCACTTTTCATGAGCTGTGCTATTAAGAACCAAAGTCTCCCATCAATCGTATATGCAGAAAATAAACCAAATTAAAAATGAAACTCAAGATACTAAGTCACACGGGCATGGACACCTCCTAGTTCAAGGCCTCTGGAAGGTCCTTCAGAAGGCGAGACCATCCCCATCATCCTTGTTACCCAGGCTCTGCTCTTCCTACTTCCATTGATGATCAGTCCCTGGGTCCTTCTCTCCCTCCACCCCGACGCACCCATCCTTCCAGGCTGCTGAGGTCCTGCCTCCTAGGAGGCCGCCCCACCACTCTGACAAAGCAACTGTCCCAGAGCCTGCAAGACAGGAGGCACACGCCTATTTGGATTTCATCCTGGGTGACAAATTATTCATACATTTCCACACCTCCCCCACCTGGAGCCCCTCTCCGGCCTCTCTGTGCCCAATGCTGTGCCTTACAAATGGCAGGCATTCAGTATCTACTGATTCCTTCCAGTTCTACACACTCTTCCCTGGTTTTACTCTGGTCACCTCCATGTTCTAGTATTTCCCCTGCTATGACAAGTTATCGATCCCTGAATTACAAAACTTAAATAACTTTTTTCTCCCAATTTTGATGTTTTTGTGACTTTGGGCTCTAAGGCCCTCTATGTCTGTGATCTAGCCAGGGCGGCTCCGAGCAAATGCCTTCCTGTGCCAAGCAGTCCTCCAGGCCATGCGTCCTCAGCCAGATGTCCCCTCCTCCCTGCCCAGCCAGCCAGAAAGTCAGTTACCCCAGTGGGGCTGCTGATGGCTCCAGAACCGCTGGGGCCCACATTACATGCCCACTAAGCACTTCTCCCTCCCACACAGACTTGTAAGAGTTAATAAAACAGCCCTAGAAAGAGAAATCATGGCAGGTATTCAGTGAACCTTCTCTGGGCCTGAAGCACAATGACTACAAAATGGACAGAACCTGGGTGAGCACACAAGAAGGTGCTGTCCTGGGGCACTGCAGATGGAGACAGGAGGAAACTCGAGCACCAGCAAGCCCTGCCTTTTACAGAATCCAGTGCCAACCAACACCCAGGAGGCTGGAGGGGTTTTGTGAAGACATACACTATATACAGTAGGTAGACAAGGCTGGAACTATTTCAGTATAACAAATGTTGCTACTTGTTCAACTCATACCCAAATTTTACACTTAGAACTAAAAACTGAGAACCTGGGAGTGGAAAGACACTTTCGATCTCTCAGTCCATTCTCACATTCTAGTTAAGATATTATTTTTCCCAAAATCTGTACCAACAAAGTCTCTTCTGCCCTCCATACCTGGGCAGAAGACCGTGAGCAAGCTACAAAACTCTCAGGGCTCAGTGTCCACGTCTGCAGCCGGAGACATGCAGAGTCCCAAAGGGTTGCTGAGGACACAAATGAAGTAATGAAGGGCTTAGCAAAGGAGAGAAAGCATACAGGAAGAACTCAATCATGTTAGCTACAGTTGTAATAGTTGTGCTTTTCCCCTCCCCCTACTTTTTCTTTTAATAAAAATCTCAGTTTTCATCCTACCAATATCCCTGAAGACCCACTGTATAAAATCTCCCCTCATCCACATCAGAACCCAACTGAAGGAAAGGGCCAGAAGAGCCGGCATTCTGGTACCAAGTCAGGTACTTCCCTACTACCAGTCCATTTTACATATGGGAAAATAGAGGCTGGGGGTAAGTATACACCCTCTGAGGTCCCAGTCAGCAAGAGGTGGAGGTGGCATTTGAACCCACAAGGTCAGGGGCAGAAAAAAGGACCACCACTCCCTCACTCTTTGGCCCCCTCACCAAAATCTTTCCTTTTCAAATCTTCCATCTAGTGGGTTTTGAGAAGAAATTCCGAGGGTAAGAACAGGAACTCTGAAATTTCAATCAATCAACTGGAATATATTAGAAAAAATTTACCTGTAGCTATGCAGAAAAGCCATTATGCAAACATTCAAGGCCCAAAACCTCAAAATGTGTTTTAATGAACACTGGTCTCAGCTCCTCAAGGAGCCGTGACTTCATGTGTATCCTTGTCAGGCTGCGAGGCCAGCAACTCACACCCAGGAACGTGCACGTCAGGCCATCACATACCCTTCCCAGGGCCAACAGAGCAACAAAGCAGGCCGCATGCGGGTCAGCACAGGCAGTGTGCTGGTGAGGGGCGGTGCTGCCTGGTAGTGGTTAAGAACTAGGAATCTGGAGGCCAACTGTGTGGGTTGGAAGGCCCCTCCCCTACCAACCACAGGGACCACTCACCTCTAGGGACCTCTGGCTCCTGAACCATAAATTTCACCCCCTAGGGTTGCTGTGCCAATTAAATGAGTTATTGCCTGCACGCCATTGCTGAGTGCTCTGTCATTGCCAGCTGTTACTGACAGACAGTAGAACATATGTCAAAAGTGTGGCTCTGTAGCCAACTATCCAGGTTTCAGTCTCTGTTCTGTGACTTCACTAGCTGCAACCTTGAGGAACTCCCTCAACTTCTCTGTACTTCAGTCTCCTCATTTTGTGAAATGGGGATGACAAGAAACTTCGTGAAGGCAGCTGTGAGGATTACATGAAATGATGTATATAAAGTGTTCTGGTACAGAGCAAACACTGTTATCTTTTATTAGCTCTTGAGATAGTTTCAGAAAAAAAAATTATTCTAAGAGATGCAATCCTAAATAACCCTAGAGTTGCAGGAATGGGATACTGACCTAGGCCTGGTGTCCCTTCCAGCAGTGAGTCACTCAGAAGAGCTGGGACACAAACCACTGCAGGGCTCCACTGTGCTAATGTGTGCCACCCCTTCACTGCTGGCAGAAGAGGAGTCTAACTAATACAATTCTACACTTAAATGCAGCCAGGATGAAAAAGGCATGTAAAGTGCACTCTTCAAGGTTGAAAATACCAAGCAAGACACACGCACACCACCACCCTTATTTAAATTTGCAGAGAATGCTACAGTAAGAGCACAGCAACAAATGAACGCGAGAAACTTCAACTCTTTCGTGTAGCCCTGCAGCTCAGACAGGAAGTCATGTTAACAAGTGTTTGAGACATGCCCTAGTGTCCCTCCTCCTGAACTCCAGGAATCTCTCACTTTGTTGTCCTTATCAGAAAAGGAACGGAATTCGCAGGAAACCTGAGTAAAGCTTTAGGAACTTGGAGCTCTGTACTCCAACTGGTTTTGATGGCAATTTCTCCTGCCCTTTGAAAAAGAGTAGGCTGGGCAGCAGGTGAGCAGGGAGGCCACAGTGCCAGGATCTGCAGGGCAACAGATCTCGTGCTGGGCTCCTCTGGCCTGCTCTGCTCTCTTCCATTCTCCAAAGCTCTTCTTTCCCCAACTTTTCTCCTTGTTTCTGTCACTTCTCACCTTTCTGACATGGGGCTATGTCACATCTGCCAACAAGAACACTCTGACCCTACTTGGCATCTAAGTCCTATACATGCTTCAAATCTTCAGGCTTGTTTTCTTCTAGAATTTTAATGTGCTGCTGAATACTTTTTCTGACTTCCAGGTCCATGCCATTCTGAATGCTGGACGACAGTGGGTGGCTGGCTGACATACAGATAACTGCAACCCACTGCCCAGGGCTTGTTCCACAGAGCCTGCAGCACTGCTTCCTGGAGAGCATCTGTGCCGCCCACAACTCCACAGCTGGAGAAATGCAAATATACCACTAAAATCCTTCGTTCAAACTGTGGTTTTGCAACTCCTCCTTTACCTATGAGCTCGGCTTGGTCCAGTTCCCTGTCCTGGAGCAGACAACACAGGATTCCTGCCGGAGACCCAGACTGCAGTCCTGGCTAACGCTCACACTTCAAACTCTCTATGTCCTGGTAAGAGGGAAAACACCAGCACACACCACCTGGGGCTGCTGTGCTGTGCGGACCCCTGCTGACTCTGTATGTGAGGGAACCTCCTAAAACATGCTCGTTGTCACTGCTACAGGGTCACCACTTTGCACAACTCCAGAAGGTACCTCCATGCGGAAATCCAAGGGTACTGTTCACATATACAGTAAATGAATGATGCCCCCCAGAGTTGTACAGAGGCAGTACTCCTAACCACCTCGGCATGGGGATTAATTAAAAGAAAGACCCTTAACATCCACCTCGGACTCACAATTTATGCTAGTCTGGTTTCTTATGCTGTGCTAAAGTGATCAACCAAAACCAGAACTTCTGAAGAAACAGGAGGAAAAACTTCCCTTCCGTCATGTTTGCATTCAGACACCACCACCCGGAACTTACGTCTCTATGTCCACAGCCAGGGAATTCAGCAGAGGTCTAATGTAAATCCCTTCCACCTCTAAAACCCCAAACACACAGAGAAGCTCACACAGCCCTGTCTCAAGGCTGCCTGCAATTGTGGAAGTCGCTCTCCAAGCTCCTGCCCCAGACGGGGCTCCACACCGCAGACCCCAGGCGTTCCTTTTCCCTGACTTTGCAACTCAAGGGCTAAACTTGATTCTTTCTTCTTTTGCAGATGCCCGCTGGGGGAACACCCAGGTGACTCTACTGCGTCAAAAGCAAGCTTTAGGGATGGCGTCCATGGGGCGGTGGACACGCTTTTCCTCATTAAAACCCTTCACTTCACAGAGTAATAAGGCCCAAAGTCAGCAGATTGTAAAACTCATAAAACGCAGTATCCCAGAGATCTAAAGAGGCTGTGGCAGGCTCCCAACGTGCCAACATAATCAAAACGCAGGGCTAGATCCCCAAAAGCTGAGTGGGGCGCTCTGGCTGCTTTTAATAGAGGTGATGAAGAGGGCCACCGCCTTCCCAGAGAGGAGGCCGGGCCGGGGCTGCCCCAGGGAGGACGGCGAGAGGGGTCCGGGAGGGGCAGACCCCTCAGCCAAGCCGCCAGAGCTGCCCTGGGGAGGGACGGGGATGCCCCGGTTCTCACGGTGAGCAGGGCCAGAGCTGACCTCCTGGGTGCGCTCCGGAAACGGCCGTCCGGGAAGCCCGACCTGCCTCCACTGCTCACTCCCGCCCGCGGGCAGGCCGGTGGGACCCCTGCGCCGAGTCAGCGCACCGAGCCTCCGGGTACCCCGAGCCCCGAGGGGGCGGAGGGCCTACCTCCAGGCCCCGCGCCCCGGGGACCCCCGCCGCCCCCGCCGCCCGGCACTCACGGTTCCATCGCGGCGCCCGGCGCGTGCCCCGAGCCTGCCCGGCGTCCACAGCACCGCGGCAGCCACAGCCGCAAGCCGAGCGACAGCGGCCGCGGAGCTGCCGGGCCCGCGAACTCGTCAGAGCGCGACGCGCCGCCGCCGCCGTCACGTGCGCGGAAGCGGCCTGCGCGGCGGGGGAGGGGCGTGCGGGCGGGGGCGGCGGGCTGGCCCGGAGACTGGGGGCGCGCGCGGGGAGCTTCCTGCCGGGTTAGGGCGACCCCGCGGCGCTCCAACGCTCCCGCGCCCCTGTAGCACAGAGGCCGGCCCTGGGGGGCTGAAAGGGCTCAGCCAAGGAGTCATAATACAACAATGATTGAACCCTTACTCCTTGTCCCTAGCCAAGGCGACGGCGCATTCATTCATTCACCTCCTGGCTCCAGGGCGTCTTAATCCTGCCGCAAAACAGGCCCTGGGAGTCTATAAACACCCTGCACTTGTCTGAAAGATACTGGGTGTTTGCATTTTTCTGGATCTGTAATTGTCTGTATTCGCAAAAAGTCTTGTGACAGGTGAGCTTCCCCAGCTCTTTCTGGTAGCTTCTGCAAACCTTTTCTAGACCAGAGCCACCAAAGCAGGCAGATTTTGCATCCCCAGTACAAGCTCTGTCTGCCCGGAAAGATGCAGGTGAGGAACCCACATCCCACATCCCATAGAGGTGAAAGTGTAACTGACGGGAGGTCCTGGTCCTGCTAAGGTGCTGCGACAGGAGTTAAGTGTCGGGCTAGTTGTTTCTACACAGTGGAGATCAGCTGACCAAAAGCATTTTCTTGATTTAGGATCCTACCTTTCTGTACTCAAGAGCAGATGAGAGCTGCAGTTTGGATATTTCCAAGATTCTCTCTGGAGCATATGTCAATTGTCAATATGTCCCCTGTCCCCATGTTAAAGTCAATGTGAATGAGGAAAATGAAAGACTCAAGCTCCCTTCCTAAAGTATCCTCATGCATGCCCCTAGCTGTCAACAAGCGCGCGGCATTGGCCATAAGATAACACGAATACAGTAAGGTTCCTGCCCTCTCAAAGTAAGTTACCAAAAGGAAGTGTGACAAGCACAGATTGCTCCAGCAGCCATGAGGAAGGGCAGCTAACTCACCTGGGAGGGGGTTCGGGGTAGGGAGAGAGAACGTAGGATGTTTGGGCTGATCTGGAGACTGAGGGGACTTAGGAAGTTGGAGGGAGGGGGAATACGGAGTAATTATGACAAGAAATTCCATCAGCACTCAATCCTAAACTGCTACTCTTACAGGAATGATAATAAACGATTATCGAATTCTTTGCATAGACGCTTGGAGGGAAAGGGCTCTTCATGGCACAAGACCAGAGGCCATAACCGCCAGGGCTGCAGGGAGGTACAGGGAACTGGAGAGGGGGCACGCACTCAGAGGGTTAGCACTCTAAAAGAGTTGGACTTCAAATAGGACTTTCATGTCATACCTCCCGATTCTAAAATGTTAGAAACTAATTCACAACGACACTTACAGCTCTGAGAGGACTAAACACGTTTCCAGAGGCAGCCAGTTCTCCCCTCTGATCTGTAGTAGCTCGTCTGGTGCAGAAACGCCTGCTGCCAGGCCTCTGCTGAGACATCTTCCAGGTCCCTAGCTGTTTTCATGTGACTCTGGGTTTTAACAAGAGTTGACATCTCTCAGGCCCAAGCTGCCTCCTGGTAACTTCTCCCTATGGTCCTCCCTTGATCTATTGTCCAGCATCTTTAGATCTGTCTTTTTATCATTTGTCTGTTTTACCAACATGCTGAGCACCCCTCTCAGCTCTGTAGATACAATGTAAAAACACAGACAAGTCCTCATCCTCTGGGGACTCACCTTCTACTGATGGGCATAGCCCCCAAATAGTAACCAAATAATGACATAGTTAGAACTGCAATGGAAAAGGACATGGAAGGGCTCTCCTAGCCCTAATTACCAATACATCACTAGCAGTGACAGTGTATATGGCAAAGGGCTCTGAGAAAGCTTGTCTAAATCAGTCAGCCATTCCTCACGTGAGACTCCAGGTCCCCTCCAGGCTCCTACCTCTGAGCATGCTTGTTTTGGCAAGCTTCCTCTTTAAGCTCAGGAATGCATTTCAGAGGAGGTCTGTATCAGCCTGAGAATAAGTTCTTACTTTGTTAGCTTCAGCCCATTTGGCCTATTATGCCATTGTCTTGACGCTTCCTGGGCTCCCTGCTCGGGGTCACGCTATCCAGTGAGCATTAACCAGCAGTTACTGAGCCCCTGCAAAGCCTAAGGCCTTAGCCCCGGATTTCTCTTAATGGGATGCATTATCAGTGGCCTTTATCCTTACCTTATAGACAGGAAACTGAGGCCTTAGAGTGGTTAAGTGACTGTCTCAGGATAAGGCTACTGATAAGAACCCAGGACGACTGACCCCAAGCCCGTGCTCTTCTAAAGCTCTTGTCCCAAGCTTTGAAGAATATGATGGGGTCGTGGTGACCAGCAGAGGCTGAGTAAAACAGGCCACCAGTTGCAGTCTTTCTAATATCAAAGGCACATTTATCAATTATGTGCTTATTTTAAAGCCTTCCAAAATCCATATATACCAGTAATGCCATTTAATTGGCAATTTTGACCCATGGGTGACTGTGTAAGTGTTTGAAACCCCACCTTGTTTCAAAAAGAATCAAGATGTCAGAAATTAGATTGATCTCATACCACCTACTCTTAAAAAAACCCTACTCATACCTAATGTTCATTTTCTAAGGGCCAACAAATCATCCTTTTATATAATTTCCTTCTGGAACAGGACCAAAGTCAAGTCCACAGGCTGTCATTTGCTGACTCCCACTCACCACTATTTTTCAAAGTTGACAGCAACATTTGCAGAGGCCCGTCTGCAAACGCTGGTGATAGCCTAGGAAATCAGATCTCATTGCAAAGGGCTCAGGACGACTTCCCAGTGGAACAGCTAACGCTTGCCTGGCAAGTTGTAGATACACTCATGTGAGCTCCTCACCTATCTTATCAATAATCAGTAACGGCTAACACTGATTACACATGCTCTAGTTGGGCACTGAGTTACATAGGAATGAAACAGAACAGTTTATTCCAATTTCCCTACCGCATTGTGTCACCTTGGACTGCCATAACACAATACCACAGACTGAGTGGCTTACACACAAAAAATCTATTTTCTCACAGTTCTAGAGGCCAGAAGTCTAAAATGAAGATGCTGTTCAATTCAGTTTCCGGCGAGAGCCCTCTCCCTGGCTCACAGACAGCGGCCTCTCTCTGCGTGCGCACACAGCCCTTCTGTGGCACAGGGATGAAAGAAAAGAGCTTGAGCTCCCGGGTGTCTCATCTCACAAGTCATTCATCGTAGCAGATGACCTCATTAAACTTTAATTATTTCCTTACTTCAAATACAGCCCCCTGAGTGTTAGGGCTTCAACATATGGATGGGGAGTGGGGACAACACAAACATTCAGTCTATAACACCCCTAAGTGGAAGATTTCTTAAAAAAGAAAATTGACGTACATATTCAGGGCAGAGAATATAAAAGAATTCAGTACCAGTAAGGCTAATTGGCTATTCTCTGTTCCAAGGCAGGAAAATCCCACAGTCCTGACTCCCCCTTAAGCAGGATGATAGTTGGTGACAGTCGATGTTAGCAACATGTCTTGGCTTGGGCTTTGACAGCTCTTGGATACCCATCTTCAGCTGACTCATCCCCTCCCCAGTAAGCAGAGCATGAACTGAGCTACTTCCACCAGGGACTCAGTTCTCTCACCATGCTGCCCTCCCCCAAACCCCCTCCTATCATTCGAATGAAGACTTGGACCTTTCTGGTCACCTTGTTGTACCAAATATGGAAACTTACTTTGCATTGTCTTCTTTACTTGTTAGCTGATCATTAGAAGCCAGGGTCCAAATGCTTTATCTTGCTTATCAAGTTTAGTAATGCTAGGAACACAGACATTCCATTCAGCAGTTGCTAACAGTATAAGGCTGTTGTTTTTGTTTTCTTATCATTGTACCTGTTCCCATTATTTATTATTGCATAACAAGCTACCCCCACATGCAGTAGCTGTATTAGTTATCTGTTGCTACATAACAAATTAATCCAGAACCTGGTGGTTTGAAACAATATTTACAATCTTGCAGTTTTTGAGGGTCAGGCATCTGGACACAGCTACCTGGGTCCCTTGGCTCAGGCTCTCTCACAGGCTGCAGGATGGGTGTCAGCCTGGGCTGAAGTTACAGAGAGGGGAATGGTCTGCCTCCAAGCTCAGGCACGTGGTTGTTGGCAGAATCTGGTGCCTCGTGGCCTGTTGAGGGGAGACTACTCTCAGTTCCTTGCCTTGGGCTCTCCACAGGGCAGCTTCTGACATGGAGCTTTGCTTCATCCAAGTGAGTACGTGAGAGGAACCAGAGAAAATGACAGCAAGATAGAAACCACTTTCCATCGCTTCCAAAAGCAATAGCCTATCTCTTTTTCTGTGTTATTTCTTTAGAAGCAAATTGTAGGTCCACTCAACACTTGAGGGGTTGGGATCATGCAAGGGCATGAATACCAGGAGATGGGGGTCGCTGGGAGCCATCTTGGGCACCTACCATGGTGGCTTGAAAGAATAGTTTACTGTCTAGTGGTTCTGTGTGTTGACTGAGCCCAGCTGGGTGGTTCTTGCTGGGGACTCCCTGTGAATGCAGGGATATGACCTGTGGGGCTGCAGCCATCTGCAGGCTCAACTGTGCTTGACATCCAAAACAGCATTCTCACTCACATCTGGTACCTGAGTGGCAATGGCTGGGAGGCTGGGGGCTGGCTGGGCATCTTTCTCTGTGTGACTTCTCCACGCAGCTAGCTTGTGGTTCCTCACAGGTCTCAGGAAGACAGACTTCAAACATGCTCTAAGACACTTGAGCAGAAGCTGCAGGGCTTCTTATAACCGAATTCACGTGTCACTCAGCATCATACTTCTCATTCTGTTGGTGAGAACACAGAGCCAGCCCAGCTCCAAGGGCAAGGGACAACACAAGAGCATGGCCCTGGGAGGGGTGGTTCTTTGGAGGCTGGCTACACGTTTGCTTCCTCTGTGTTCTTCTCCAAAAGCAAAATAACTATACACACAGCTCCTAGACTC